GGGGTGGGTTACCTCACATCTTCTGTTACAATGTGTCACGCTCTAGATGTTGTCACTGTCACTGCACAGTGTGACGCTGAATCACTCGCTGCACTGGTGCCACCCGAAACACTTGTGGATCAGGCCTTGTCTTTCTGCTGGGGCCCTATTTAATTTTTTTTCCTTGGGGGTGGGGGGGAGGCCAGAATCTCCCCCCTGGTCAAATGGTGCACCTTGGAGCAGCAAAACCTCCTTCAGCAAAGGGACAGGTTGTGCTGAATCCCATCCAGGAGCTTACTTGCCTGGCATGGGTGGGGGGGCAGGGGGGTATTTGATTCCCGGAATCCATTTAAGAGCAGGATTAATGTGTCCTGGGAGAGGGCTGCTCCATCTGCAAACTGGATATACTAAATCAGGGCTGCTGTGCGCCATGCGCCCTGTTCAGCTACTGACAGGAGTAGATGGGAAACAGGCACAGTGAGGTCTGAGAGACGTCAATCAGACACCACACAGACCAGTGTGAGCTGTAATGACCAGCTTGAGCCAAAGGCTGCCTTGTGTCGCTAAGCTCAACATACATCTCGCATGCAGAAAAGGTCTGGACTCAAACTATATCTGCTCTTAGTTTCTGGGGAACATGCGCCTTACTTCATTTCTAACAGGGAGGGCGTTGGGCTCGGGTTTAAACGCATTCTTACATTCTCCATAATTTAAGTTAAACTTAAACATTTATGGGGTGCTATGATGCACCATCTTTGTGGAATAATCTTGTCTATGGGTGGTGATTAGGGAGATGATACATTTCAAATGAACTGGGCGGTAGGGCGTCCGTAGAAGGGAAGCTGGGGTCGGCATTGCGAATTTGCAGAGAAGCGGGGGAGCAGATCCGGTGGAGCAGAAGGGTGATCGCATAGGCAGTAAATAGAGGAAACTTCCTCTGGGATGATGGTGGTATTGGGGTGGGATCGCTTTCCCCCAGTGATCATCAGCCGCGTGACGAAGTCTATGCAACGTGCTGACGGAAGAAACCACACTGGTCGGAGTTACGGTGTATTTGTTTTAGGAAGCTCCCGCATCGCTGGGGGAAAAGATGATGCGGCTCACACTTTAATAACATGACAGCAGGTTAAAGTAGCGTGACAAGCAACGCTTGATACAGAGAGACGCTGAGGAATTAATAGGGGACTACTCAAAGCCTTTTTGTCGGCTAATCAGCTTGAGGAGAAGTTATTTGTGATTTACAAATGACCTCTCCGACCAGTTTGTGCAAATCTGCCTATGTAATATTATTTTGAGTCACTGGGTGCATACTTATACACTTTAGATCCTTGTTCATTGCCCATTCATCGACGTTTAATTTGAATTCGATTAGATTCATTTTCGATATGCTCAAATAACTAATTTATTGTTTTTGTGCAACACTTTATGGTCATGTCCAAAAATAATCTATCGTATAAATAGGAACAGTTTATCCCACGTCACTACAGTGGCACGGTATTTAATATGCCCTAAATTAAGGTAGTCTCCCCCTTAAAAAGCTTATCGTGCAGTTTATGTCCTGCAGAAATACTGCCCTGGTTTTGTAGTTTCGTACATCCCGCTAGACCGCTTGACTGTGGGCATTTAACATTCTGTGGGTTTATTATACATTATCAAAACTAGTGGGTAGGGGGGACCGTCGTTTTCTCCTTAAGAAACACTGCAGCGTCAAGCTTAAACGAAGGTGACCATGTCACCAAGTAAGAGGAGCCTGACTGCACCCTATCGGGCCCCGGGGCTGCAGTGGTCGTCAGGTCATTACCATGCGTCTGTCACAACTCCGGGAGCGATTTTCGGAAGGTATGGGCAAAAGTCATTTTAGACAACACTTAGTCTTTCTATCGTCATTCTTCACATTTTCTATTAACTGTGCGAAGTTGTAGAATGAGTCAATACTTAATTCGTATTTTATGACAATGCTGTACAGCCTAAATAAATAGCTACCGATAAATAGTGTAGATTAGAGAGAGATATGTTTTGCCAAATAACTGGAGTATGTACGAAAAGTTAAGTCGCGGTTGGTCTTTTCAGTTCCAAAGTATATCACAAGTGCTTTTCATGCATCAACTGTTTCCCCTTGAAATACTGCTCCTTTTGCCAACGTGAATTTGTACAGCGGACATCTTACAGGAAGCTGTGCCATAACTATATTTACTAAGCAACGAAGACAACTTAGCGGGTTCTTTTTTAGAGTAATTTATTCGTGTATGCTGAAAATGACTATATCAAAATAGTTCTGTCATAATATTGACTTGATTATGTGGACTGATAAACTCAATTGGTGATTTTTTATAGCTTCATCAACCGAGGTACAGAGGCTATGTCAACACTACCCCCCAGTAAAACTGCCAACTCATGTAAAGGTACTAAGACTTGAACGGGATCGTGGCTACAGTACCAAGTACCACATTACCCCAGTTCGGATAACTTACTTACGGATAACTTTAATTGGTTAAAGCTATAGCCCTCGCCTCAATCCGCATTCATCACGACTTGACCGACCGCATGCAATTTTATTGGTTGGCGAATGAAACGTCATTGTAGATGTATCTTTTAATTGTTGGTGCTGATGGCTTTCACTCTCTTGAAGTCGCCTCGATTCCGAACTCCGGCATTGGCTAGAAAGGCTGACAATCATTGGCTTTGCGAAGTGGGCGTCATAGCTGCACTTTTACGTTAGACTTTGATTGGCCAGCTGTTTCCGATTGCGTCATCGCGCTGCCAGCTGATCGGAGTGGAGAAGCCGGTTCGAGGGGAGTTGGACTAGAGGCTTGCGAGACGGCGAGCGGACCAGGGAACGTGCGAGATCGGAACGCCGGGCGAGGCTTGTGCCTCCCCCAATTCATACGGCCGAAGTGTCTGATAGTATAGAGTAGCTCAAATGATCTGTGTTAGCCATAAAAACTGCACGAGCGCCGTTTTGTAGGAAGCGTGCGAGTTAAGGCGAGGTTTTTAACCCAGAATTGGGCTGAACTATGAGTTTACTGAGGTTTAAGGTGGGGCGTCCCTAAGAAGGATATTGTGGACTGCAGACTCGTCGGGTTTCTAGTAAGTCCAGATATCTGGCAGTAAGTAAAATCTTATGTTGTGCCGACCGTTTTCTTATCGTTAACTGGCGTATTGAAATTACGAAACAAAAGGTCTGATTACTCAATATTTAACCAGCCTTGCCTGCTTTGCTGCAGACTAGACGCTTTCTTGTTTTATTTAACCATGGCTACTCATTTAATGTCTCATCGGATAGTAAAACGGATACATTATTGACTCCTAGGTATACTAGGTAACTAGAACTAAATTCTTTTTTGAGTGGAGTTGGGGCGATCCGGCACGCCTGGAAGATTACATAAAGCTGACTATGGAGAAAGTGCCATTTTTGCTGTCAGGAGAACCACCGCCTTCCACCCCCCCAGCTGCGTAGATAAATGTCGGTGTATATAGCCTATATAATACTTAAATAACGCAGGACCTTTTAATGCAGCGTCCGCACAAAACTTGAACCCCCGCACAGAACCACCAGATAGCTTTTTTTTTCTGGGACTTTTTCCTGCAAAGTAAGTTGGCACGAACGGTGGGGCTGGACACTTGTTGGTTTGAGGGTTGCGTGTATCACGGCTGAAAAGCAAGCAGCTATCGGTATCGGCGCTCGTAGCCGAGGGCTCTGCGATCGGCTCGGGTTTAAGTTGCATTGTGCGCCCGGCCGGCCATTATCGGCAGGCGGCGGTCTTGACGCGTCCAGAAAACGCGTCAAGAACAAAATGTAGCCAGCGCAATAAAAGCGTCTTAGTTTCCTTCCCTGTTCTTTTGCCAATGAGCCTCAGATGAATGCCGATTCCTGATCTAGCGGGGAAACACCCTCGGCGCAGAGAGCCGCCGGTAGTGGGCGGTGCTGCTCCGCTGCCCGTACCTGTCAGTATGGCACCAACTTCAGCACGAATCCAACAACGCTCACTTTGTCACTGGCGATTATGGAGACTTCTGGAAAACTGGTGCTTCTCATGGCTGCTATTCGTGACAGCTCGGCTGCCTTGCTTTTTTAAATGAATCAGGTAAGAGGGTTTCAGTCCTCGGCCTGCTTGTCAATGTAGCCGGCGTCCTCCATTCGTCAGTTAGCAGCTTCTTTTTATACATGTATGCGCGCTGCATGACACCATATAATTCGTACTTCACTGCATGTGTGTTATAGTATTTGATTGCATTGCATGGTCAAGTGTATATCTCCGCTCGCACCGTGCGGTTGTCACCGCATGATTGCTCACTTTCTTAAATCCTCTACTTAGCCTACAGCGTTTGCGGTCAGTGAATTTAGAGTAATGAAGGCGTCCGCTTGCGACTCGTTGATGGTGGAAGCTGTTCCGGTTTGGGTAACTAAGTAACTAGTTAGCGGAGTAAGGCGATCCGCGTGTAGGGACAGCCAGGCGAATTCCATAAGGCCACACCCTGTTTAATGCGATCTACCCGAAGCACCCCCTTTCCTTTTTTTCAAGAAGTTTCTCGTTTCCGTTTCTCTTTTTTTTGGTCTATGGTTTTTTTTCCACTTAGATGTTATCTCCAAAACCCCTTTTAAAATACAAACGACGATTAAACGATTTTAACGAAAACCCGCCGCACCTATCCTGGAGGACCCGCTGTTAGCCTTTCAATGTCGCTCCTGCGGATCAAGGTAAATCGGTTTTCCCCGATTAACCTTCCGTTTCGTGGCCCCCTGCACCTCCTAGGCACGTTTCTTGAGCCGAAGAAACCCACGATCGCAGACCGGGGGTCGCATACTGTGGTTCCTCCGTCAGAGATGCGCAGATACTGCGTGTTAACGTGACGCTACATGTACGTATGCATCGTGACGAAGTGACGGGTTTATTAAACCATTAAAGGAAGCGCTGTGGCATCTGAATAGTATTTCATGTAGTCACTCTGCCTGAGAAGGCTGTTAATGAATGCTCGGTGCATTAGGATAGATATGCTGCAAAAATGCGCTCCTGTTTCACTTGAATTTGACCCCTAGAAACTGCAGATTTAATTTTTTAATCTCTTTAATTGTGAATGGTGATTATCTTAGTTTAATCACACAACTTTAATGGAAGTATATCACCTCTTGCCTTGTTTTTAACCCTACTGACTTGCTGAGGCCAAACAGCTGCACGTTTAGAAATGATTGCTGTCTTGAGAGATTTTGCCAGACTGTTCCTGCCGTCGGACTGCTGGGTTAAACTGCGCGTCTGGAGGCTAATTCACCGTGGATTACAGCCGGGAACCGAGAGGATTATCTTCCAGCCTTGCGGACTGTTGGGTTGGGTCGGGTCAGCACTGGCTGGCCTGTGCGGCCGCCATGTTTGTCTCTGACAGTGTGGAGCCCTGCAGGGCTGGGCGTCTGTCCTGTGGTTCAGGATGTGCTTTCCTGTCTGACTGCTGCCAGGGCCCTTGCTGTCACCCAGAAGCTGGCTGCCCGTCCGGCTGCCACTTCGGCCCGGCAGTGATCGCGCCAGGCTTGTAATGAGATCGCTTTGACCTGATAGATCCCAATGAAAAGCTGCGTAATGTGGCCCAGTTAAGCCAGAATCGGGGGGGGTTGAATCTTTAGTCCCTGGGCCGTTATATTTTAGCTCCTGTACTGTATGTAAAGAGGCTGCCGTGTTCGTTGAGACCCTTGCTGTTAAGCATCTCGTCCCTCTGCTGGTGTGGAAGATGATGATTTGCTTGTCACATTGTTCCTGGCAAATTTTCGTTCGTCATTTTCTCGACTGGCTGTACCCTCGTGTCACCAGACAGCAGGCCTTCGGTAAGGGGGGTGTCCGGCTGGTGGAAACGCGGTACTCTTGTGCTATTGGATCTGACGTGTGACTGGGCACTGTTACTGGTCTCTGTTTGTGGCTGGTTGTGCAGGTGGAATTGCCTCCAAAATGTTAATTGAGTTTTTAAAAAGTGAACTTCATTTACGGTTTATCCTGGCTGATTTCCGGCCGGGGTGACACTGCTAAGCTGTTTTAATTTTTAAAAAATTAACGCCTGTCACTGTCACACCACAATTTTTGGAGAGTAGGTTATTGAAACGCTCTTCTCATTTTCTGCTGTCGTGGGCAAGATGACACGGTGGGGAGGGGAGCGGATAGGTGCTAAAAGCTAAATATTTGAGGTGCCCTGGATACGCGCCTGTCCTGTGGGCCTAATTATTGGGTCGTGTCCTTGTGTTGAATTGGCCCAGGGAGAGAGGCCTTGCTGTTATCTCTGCATGGCTGGAGAGATTAATGTCATCGTCACCGGGCCCCGTCAGCGAGAGGCGTGCCTCGTCACGCTCCGCAGGGCGCGCCGGCGTTGGTAGGCCGGGGAGTCCCCACGAGGCCGAGTCCCAGGTTAAGGCCGGTTCCGTTTATGGTGCAGTACGGCTGCATGCGTGTGCGGTGAAATGCCGCGGCCTTGAGCGTCAGTGGCAGGTTCTAGACGGGGGGGGGAAAAAAATACTGACTTCTGTGGCTGAACTAGCCTCCACCCCTCCTTCCATCTTGGTTTTCGCTGCCCCCCAACCCCTCCTCCTTTGCCGCTGACCTGGTGTGTTGTAATGGCTAGCTCCCTGCTGTGGTTCACTTAATTAACCCGTTTTCAAAAGGCTGAGATGGTGCTGTCCATGTCTGGCCTTGGCTTGCGGTTCCGCGAGGCTCTCTGTATGCGCACACGCATGCGCACACGCACCCCTGTGTGGTCCCAGCTTACGGGAAATAGATGGTGGCTGTAGCATCTCTTCCAGATGGGTCTGTCCCCCGCACTGACGAGCCTCGACTTTCACAGTGTGTGATCTCCGGTGTCGTCTCCCCCCCCCCCAGCCGCTTAGGACCTTGGGAATGACTGCACGCTCATTTCTGGGGTGACCCCTCCCCCCCCAGGTCCCGTGGTCTGTGATTAAGCGGGTCGCAGCCCTCACTGGTGTATGTGTGACCCAGTTAGAGCATGCGTGAGCCTGCATACTCCCTGGAAACGGCACCTCCCCTCTCCCCTGCTGCACCTGCCTGAATGAAGCCCCCCCCCCATGTCCAGCGTTTGCTTCCTCCAATGCTGGGCCGTGCTGGGAGGCAGCTCTGGCATGCACAGCGCTTTTGTAGAGGGGGTGGGGCCCAGTTCAGAGGGAACGGAGGCCCACAGCAGACCGGTTGGAATTTGTACCATATGTACCAGACATTTGCGGAATGCGGCAAAGGTACTGGGAGGGCAGAGGAAATGGATCGCGGCCCGGGAGGCAGCGGTGGGTCTGGGGGGGCGTCCCGGTCTGGTTCTGGTGCAGCCTTGATCTTCTCCCCCCCCCAGTCCACTGGTGGTGCTGGGATGGGTACCATCTGCCGTTATTGTACAGACACATACTTAAAATGGTGATGGTGGTGATGGGGATGGGGGGGGTGTTTCACATCTGGCTCTCAGCTGCATGCTGTGTGAGAATCCCTCAGCCCTTGGGGAGGGGGGCAGGCATAGTGTCTGAAATCCTGGAATTTGTAGCCACAAGCAAATGCAGCTTGATTGCTTCTGGAGTCGGTAAAGTGTGGTGGGGGGGGGTCTTTAGGTAATTTGTGTCGCAGCCTATGTGATATAACCCCCCCCCCCGTGGATGTAGGTCCGAAGACCTGAGTGTGCATAACGTTGTCTTGGAGTTGCGGTGCAGTTGGCACAGTCACACCTGGCCGTCCCGGGGGGGGGGTCGGGGGGGCGCAGCCTTTAAGGGAGACCTGCAGCACGTTCGCTGTGGCAGGTCGTGCCAGATGGTGCCCTGGAGATGGTCTGCTCTCTAGCACGGGGAGTTCATGACCCAGAAGATGGTCTCAGTCTCTCAGGCATATGGGGGGTGGGGTTTAATTGAGCCCAAATGTTCCTGTCCACCCCCCCCCCCCCATGTTTTGTTGTTGCTTCCACCCCGTTTACTTGGAGCTGCAGCCCTGAAATTTTGTCTTGTCCCCTTTTCTCCCGGGTCACTCAGTTCTCAGTTCTGCTTCCTGCATCACATCTGCATTCCGCCGCAGTACAGCTGTGTGTCTGCATACCGCTGCCCTCTCTCCCCACGGCGGTGTGTGTGTGTGTGTGTGTGTGTGTGTGTGTGTGTGTGTGTGTGTGTGTGTGCGCGCGCACTGGAAGCTGGACTCTGTGTCGGCCTGCAGCTCCCTGCCACAACGGCTGGCGTGTGCATGCAGGCCAGTCATGGTGATGGCGGAAGGTGGCAAGAGATCATAAATCACTGCTTCAAAGGCGTCACCCCCTGACACGCTGTGAAAACACTGCTTCCCTTTTTTAACGTCTTAACATCGTGCAGTGAAATGCTTGGAAAGAGGCCTGGTTTGTGTTTGGCCTGTGTGTGGGGGTTCCCGCCTTTGAAGCCCCCCCCCCCCCTCTGAAACGGCACCCTGAAGTGTTAGGTTGTGGGTCTGTGGCTGTCCAGGAAGAGCTGCTTACATCATTGCCCCTGGTGGGGGGGTGGGGCTGCCCTATGCCACGTGACAGGATGCCTCGCTGACGTCTGTCCTCCGGATGAGAACCAGCTCCCCATCCTGTTCACTCTCCTGATCATCACCTGCCATCTTTGGCTGACGCAGACTCTTCTTTTATGACGTCGGTGCCGCGTCTGGCCTCCTTCGTCTTTATCTGAAGGCCTGAATCACATGGGATGGTCAGCATAGCGGTTTAGCCAACTCTCTGCCTTCAAAGGCCCAGTGAGGCTGCCCTCAGCTGCTCTGCCTCCTGCCCTCAATTTGGGGAAGCTTAGTGCTGCCCCCCCCCCCCCCCCTGTTCTGTCAGGGTCTTACTTTGGCTCCGCCCTCCCTCTTCTATCCTGGATTGCTTTTAAAGATGCCGTTTTGCTTGGGGGGGCCTTGTACTGAACTTCCATCTTACTGGTTTCCTCCCATGACAGCCCTTAATAGAAATGGACCCCCCCCCCTCCTGCCCTTCTCCACTCCCCAGCAGTTTTGCAGCCTTCAGGGCCAGCTTGCTGCAGTCTGGTGGGAATGCCTCAGATCACTTGGTATGGCAGGAACACAGTGGGGGTGAGGTGGGGGACGTTGTGGCGGGGGGGGGTGTGGTCACTATCTTTTGTCTCCCTCTGCATTTGTGGCCCCCAGTTTGTGGTAGTTTCCCTCTGAGGATGTTCATTCTATCACAAATGCATTGAACCCCCCCCCCATTCGTGACATGGTTACGGTGCCACCTGCCTTCTGCAGGGGTTGTCCTCATGGGCCACTCACATATGGTCCCAGGGCTCGTCATCGCCCCGGCAACTGCATCCATGGCAGTGGACAACTGTGGGGGGGGGGGGTGTGCTGATGTATGAAAGTGCCGGAGACAAGGAGCCACGGTGATTAATGGCTTAATTTGCGGAGTGAGCGCAGCTCTGGGGGGCAGGATGGGGACGGAGGGATGTGAGCTACTGCACTGGGGGGAGGGGGCAGGGATCGTCGGATTGGGGGTGCTGAGTCGGCCACCCCACCCTGTCGCTGCTGTCTACTGTAATTGATCTGGGAAGCATCTACTGGTGTATGATGAATCCCTCCCTGGAACACAGCGTCCTGTATGATGGATGCTTTTGGGGGGGCTCATGGCAGTGCCAGGAAGGAAAGTGTAGGATAAAAATGGGCCGTCTGTGTGGCGATTCTGGGGGGGGTGCATTGATCCACCCTGCAGCCTGGATAAAATGCTTCAGTCACTGTGGGGGGGGGGTTGGGTTGGGTTAATTTTAAATAAACGATTGTGCTGAGTGGAGTGTCTCTCTCCCAGTACACCCCGTGTTTCCACAGCCTCTCCCAGCTGGAGCTGGCTGGCTTGTGACAAGGCTGCAGTGTGAGGCCTGCCTGGCCCAGAAGCCCCTCCCCCAGGTCGGCGAGCTTGCGGGCCGGTGTTCGGTGCAGGGCTTCTTCCGGATTCTGGCCGGTGCTGGGAGGTGCCCGTCAGGGTTGGGTGAGGCTTTCGGAACGGGAGCTTGTGGTGCTGCGACGTGCCCCCCCCCCGCCCATGGCTGGGCACCATTCTCATGGGTTTCGTCATGAAAATGGCCCCATTTCTCCCGTATCGCTCCTCTGGTCTCTGGGGCGCCGCGTGAGCCTCCCCGGATGCGAGCGAGGCTCCCTCTCTGTTCTAAATGCTCCTTCTGTTCTCTCTCTCCATCAGGTCCTGCGCAGCCGGTGAGTGGGAGGCGCAGACGGCGTGTGTGTGCGCGTGCGCGCGCGTGTGCGTGCATGTACACACGTCTTGGCCGAGTCGCGGCAGTTCTTCACTGGCGAGCTTTATGTCCATGTATAACTGCTAAAGCTGCCCGCTGAAGAACTGTTGTGATTGGCTCCTCCCTGCGCCTGTCAAGAGGAGGAGCCTGTCAATGAGGTTTATGGGGGGTGGGGGTGGCGGCTTCTCTGGAAAGGGGTCCCACTCCTATCCTATCCTTGGGTAAAAGTGTGTCCCTTACTGGTGGGAGGTCCACTCGACAAGTCTCACAGAGGAACTTGATTTGGGACACTGGTCCAGCGCACTGCTCTCCAGCCTGACCTGCTGATATTTCTTGTCTTTCCAAATAGTGCCAATAAACTCTACATCCACATCCCCTGCTGGTCTGCTGCCTCCTTTCTTTCAGTGTTCTAAATGAGGTTTTTAGGTTGTTCGGTGTGAGCGTTGAGCTTGCGGGTAACGCTCCCAGTGCTACATTATGATTGAGTGATGGCGGAGAATGTTCTCGTGCCTTGAAGTGGCCACGCCCACGAGCTGTCCTGGTGCCTCATCCTGATTGGCTGTGGGTCACTTGAATGGGTAAGGATTAGTGTTGCTGCTTCAGGGAATCTGAGAAGGCTTACCTGTGGTTTTGGCAGGTTTGCGGTTGTGGGGGAGATCGCCCGCTGGTCGGGGAACTGGGTGTAGCCGTGTCCAGTCCTTGTGTAGCTCTGTAGTATGGCCTGTGTACCACTCCTGTCCCCTAGCCTTTGCCGCCCTCGACCCGTCCCCCCCTGTCAGTCGGACGAGGGGGGAGCTTGGGGTACTTCCTAGGAGAGTCGCTGTTCCCTTCAGCGATGTACTGTATCGCTTTAATACAGCAAGTACTATGGAAACGGCATGTATGTCAGTCGGTGTTAGATGGTAATGGGGGAGCTGGTTTTTTTTTTTTTTTTTTTGTTAAATAACCGATGATCACACAAAATCTCCTAAGGGGGCCCTCCCCCGGAGAAATTTGAGCATTTAGGCTAGTTGGGAGGGCACCAGTGTTTTTTTTTTTTTGGGGGGGGGTCCTTGGTGCCTCATCATCACTGGCCCCCAGGGTTCAAAGACCAAGTGTCTGGTTCTCAACCTGCTTGCTTTTGCGGCTGGAAAGATCCCAGGTAAGTCTGCTGAAGTTGGAGCCAGCTGGCTGGGGGGTTGGGGGGTGGAATGTGGGCAGGTTTGGGTTCCTCTTGTGCCCACTGCAGATGGTCTTGGGAACGTTTTCACTTGCTTGGAGGCTCCTGTGTTTCTGAAACCCCAGACACCCAGCAGATGCTGCCCTGCTTCCTGGCCGACCGATGCCCCGTCAGTCTCTCGTGGTGTTCCGGAACCGTGCTGGGGGGCACCTGGGCCTCGCAGCCTGACCACCGGAGGGCTAAAACCTGCGAAGGTTCTCTCTGGGAAGGACGGTATGCTCTTGTGAAGCTTTTAGGTACAATGACCTCAAAGACGACCCCCCCACTTTGGTGTGAAGAGAATGGTGCTGGCCAGGATAATGTGTGCATGGAGGAGGAAAACTGTACAGAGGTGCTCTACCTGCCCCCCCCCCCCCCATACTCCTGACAGATTTAATATGGTTATTCTTTTATAGCTCAATGTTTCACTGTTGGAATTTAGGGTAAGTCCTCATGGGTGCAACTGCAGGGATCTGATCTGCTAACCCTGACACGAGATCCATGCCACCTGCTCTTGCTGAGACGCACCACAGCTCGGCCCTTTGGCTGCTGTCCCTCAGGTCAACGCTCATGGCCCTGGGCACAACCACATCAGCACCGACAGTCCGTGCCTCTTCTGCTGATGGAGTCCTGCCCACAGTGCTGACTCTGTAATGTTGGCGGCATCGGCCGAGCTGCAGGCTGTGTACACATCGCCGCCACGAGCTCGCAAATGGCTGTCCGGCTGCAGGCTGTGTACACATTGCCGCCACGAGCTCGCAAATGGCTGTCCAGCTGCAGGCCGTGTACACATCGCCGCCACGAGCTCGCAAATGGCTGTCCAGCTGCAGGCCGTGTACACATCGCCGCCACGAGCTCGCCAATGGCTGCCCAGCTGCAGGCCGTGTACACATCGCCGCCACGAGCTCGCAAATGGCTGTCCAGCTGCAGGCCGTGTACACATCGCCGCCACGAGCTCGCCAATGGCTGCCC